TCTCAGACCTGGAATCCTAGCACTTTGGGAGGCTGAGGCAGGAGGATTGCTTGAAGCCAGGAGGGTTTCTTTTTAAGTATTTCTTGTATCTTCTTCTTATTTTTTGAGACAGGGTCTTGCTCTGTCACCCAGGCTGGAGTGCAGTGGCTCCATCTTAGCTCACTACAGCCTCAAACTTCTGGGCTCAAGTGATCTTCCCACTTCAGCCTTCTGAGCAGCTGGGGCCAGGGGAGCACACCACCATGCCCAGCTAAGTTTTTTTGTTGTTGTTGAGATGGGGTCTCCCTACGTTGCACAGGTTGGTCTCAAACTCCTGGGCTCAAGTGATCCTCCTACCTCAGCTCCCGAAGTGCTGGGATTACAGGCTGAGCCACCCTGTCCATCTGAAGCCGGGAGTTTGAAACAAGCCCGGGCAATACAGCCAGATGCTCTCTCTACAAAAATCAAATCAAATGAAATAATGAGGCTGAGTGTGCTGGCTCACAGCTGTAATCCCAGCACTTTGGAAGACCAAGGCGAGTGGATCACCTAAGGTCAGGAGGAGTTCAAGACCAGCCTGGCCAACATGGTGAAACCCTGTCTCTTACCAAAAATACAAAAATTAGCCAGGCATGGTTGTGGGGGCCTATAATCCCAGCTACTTGGGAGGCTGAGGCAAGGAGAATTGCCTGAACCCAGGAGGCAGAGGTTGCAGTGAGCCGAGATCGCGCCATTGCCAGAGCGAGAGTCTGTCTCAAACAAAACAAAACAAAACAAAAACAGACAAACAAAAACCCGAAGACCTTCGCCAAGCCTCCCTGTCTCCTGCATCCCTGGCAGAGATAAGACAGAGAGGCGGCTCAGGGCTGTCCCTCGGGGAATTCCCAGCCTGAAGCAGGAGAAATGTAGAAGTGTCACAGATGAGACAGCCAGAGGTGAGAAGGATGTGTGGAGTCAGGCAGATGGGACTCTGAAGCTGGTGGCCCAAGGCAAGTCTTTCCACTTCTCCCTGCCTCAGTCTACCTCTCCAGCAAACAGGCATCGTCCTGCCTCTCCCTCAGGGCTGGCTCAGGGAGAAATGGGTGGGCGAAGTCTCCCGTGCCTGTCATGTCTGGCACTCAGTGGGGCTTAGCTCTTCCTCTCAACTACTCAAGAGGATGTTTGAATTTTGAGGTCACATCTCATGTCTCACTCTTACATACAATTGAACTGCTCTTACATGTAAAGTGCTTAGAATAGCACATAGGGCATAGTAAGCACTCAATTAATGTCAGGTATTATTAATACTATTACTAGTAGTAATATATATATTATATAGTATTAATTAATTTTTATTTGTTTGTTTATTTTTCTGACAGAGCCTTTGTCTGTCGTCCAGGCTGGAGTGTAGTGGCACCTTCTGGGCCCACTGCAATCTCCACCTCTTGGGTTCAAGCGATTCTCCTGCCTCAGCCTCCTGAGTAGCTGGGATTACAGGCGCGCACCACCATGCCTGGCTAATTTTTGTATTTTTAGTAGAGACCGCGTTTCACCTCTTTTGCCAGGCTAATCTCGAACTCCTGACCTCAGGTGATTCACCCACCTTGGCCTCCCAAAGTACTGGGATTACAGTTGTGAGCCACCACACCTGGCCAAATTTATTAATATATTATATAATAAGTGTGCAATATAATATTCTCTACTTTATATATTTATTATAATATATTGTATAATATATACACTATTAATTTATTATATTATATGTAGCATAATATATACTATTTATTAGATATTGAATGTGTAATATAATGGATTCTACATCATATATACAATATATGTGCATTATTTATTATATAATATGTAGCATATTATATACAATATATTATGTATTAGTAATTTATTATATAATAGAGGTGCATGTATAATACACTATATTGTATATTAATTTATTAATGTATATATGTAGTTACATATAGTATACATAAGTTATATGTAATAATATAAATTGCATATATTATACATAATGTAGTATATACTAACTTAATACATTATAGATGTTATGCAGCATGCACTATACTATATATCTCTATGTATCTCTCTATGGCCTGGTACATTATAAGTAGGCAAAAATACTTTATGCTACATTATGCAGTATTTAGCAAATTCCGGGCCCATATTTCTTCTGTATCCCCTGGTACCTAACATAGTTCTTGGTCCATAGTAGATATTTAGAAAATGCTGTTTCGTGACACTAGCCCCAGTTGCTGTGCATGACACCTTTGAGGTGTCAGGAAATGCCGCCTCTCCCAACTTAACCTGAAAACCAGCACCCCGTGTCACTGCAGCTAGAAAGCAACCCTGCAGTACCAGTTCTGCCCCCTCCATGTGAGTGACCTTGGGTTGCTCCCTTTCCCTCTTTGAGCCGCAGAGTTCTCCATCTGGAATACAGGTGTCCTTGGGCCCCGAGGTCCGCCCTGCTCTTTCCCCAGGCGCGGCCCGGACCCTGGCCGGGGGGCTCACCGATGCTGTCTGTCTGCAGGTAGCACTTGTTGCCCAGGCAGTACCGCCACAGGCCCTGGTGGGCGAAGGACCCTGACAGCCGGTACTGCATCCAATGGTCTGTTGCCGTGGCCACCACCAGCAGGATGGTCCCCACCCAGGCACAGAACAGGCCACCACCCATGAAGCTGTACATGGTGATCTGCGGGGAAGGGGAGAGATCGGGTTGGGAGCTGGATTCCTGGGACTTGATGGAGGAAGGGAACTGGGGGAAGAGAGGGCTCAGGAGTGGGATGCCAGGTGCTTGGGAGAAGGAGATGGAGACCTAGACGCCTGGGTCCTGGGGAAGGAAGGGACTGGGGGCCCGGACTCCCGGGTCTGAGGGAGGAGGATGGTAGGGATCCTGGAAAGACGACAGGGAGGAGGGGCTGGGTTCTTGGAGCCTGGCGTCCTGGGGAAGAGAAGGCCGGGGACCTGGACTTCCAGGTTCTGAGCAAAGAATAGCTTGGAGGCCTAGATTCCTGAGTCCTAGGTGAGGAGAGGCCCAGGGGCCTGGATTCCTGGGTGCTGGGTAAGGAAGGGGCTAGGGGCCAGGGGTGGACACCAGGTCCCGGGAGGAGGAGGAGCTGGGACCCTAGACTCCTGGGACTTGGGGAAAAGGGGGCTACAGGTCCCATGCTTGGTGCCTACCTGAGTGGCAGAGCCTGCCCGAGCCCTCCTTCTGCCACGGCCCCTCTGTGCAGACTGAGCTGAGCCTGGTCACTGGCCTCTTGGCCCCCATAGGTTCCCCAAATCCCTTAAGCCTCCCTACACAATGGTCCCACGATCCAGCAGCTTCCAGCAATCAGAAATGCAGCGGTGGCAGAGGCCTCAAATGGAATTTGCTGAAGCAGGCATCCAGGGGACTCCCCACCCCCAGCCCCTGCTCACTGACCTCTGTGACCCTCCCCTGGACCCACTACCTTGTCACCAGCCTTGCTCACAACAACCCTGGCTTTGTCCGAGCTGTGTAAGCACACACACGCAAGATACAGGGAGAGTCACACATTTATTGCTTATTCTTCGTGGGGATGGACACAGAGCTGTGGCTGAGGTTGAGGATGGGGCTCTTTGGAGCTGTAGATTCAGAGGACATTAAAGATGGGCTGAGGTACATAGGGAATGAGGAGAAAGGGGTTGGTAATGAGGGTGGGTTTGGGTTGAGGCGCAGAAGTGGAGTTGGGACTGGTGACAGGGATGGGAGTGAATGGGTTTGGGAATAGGGATTGACAGTGGGGAAGAGAGAGGCTAGTAGGAGTGGCTTTGGGGTTAGGGAGAGGGTAGGGGATGGGGCTCGGGGATCCTTGGGGATTGAGAATGAGGTAAGGATGGTGGTTGTGGTTGGGGATGGCATTGGGAATGGGGTTGAGGCCATCAAGGAGACAGGCCTGGGCATGAGGTTTAGGGTTTTCTTCTGGCTTGGGATTCAGGTGACTTAGGTCAGGTTCACCAAGTGGCTCACAGGAGCTACTCCTGGGACTCCGGTTTTGGGGAGAGGGGAGGATGGAAGATGTTTCTTGGGGTTCTTCTGACAGGGCCGAGGTCACTCCGGGCCCCAGGAAAACCCTCCTGGGCGACTGCAATCTCAGGTGTTGGACCCTCCAGGGTCCTAGTACTCTGTCTCCCAGTCCTCAGCAGCCGGTGGTGCTTCCAGGGGTGGCTCTGGACCTCCAGCTTCCTTCTTCCCATCCTGGGCAGGCAGTGTTGGTGCTGATGGCAGCGTCATTGGTGGGGTCCTGGGGCCAGCCCCAGGGCCCCCCGCCCGACCCCTCTCTGGCTGCTCAGCTCTCCCGAGGCCTCCTCGTCGATATGGGCCCCGGCCCCAGCCTGGCCTGTGCCTGACTTCCCAGCCCCCGCGTCCCCTGGGAGGCCTCCTGACTGCGCCAGGCTGAGTGTGGCCTGCCTGGGGGCAGCAGGAGCAAGAGGGCAAGGACTGTTGGAAGGTGTAGGCCCCCAGCAGGGCGCTGTGCAGGAGGCAGGAGAGGGTGTCCAGGCGTATGGGCACGGTGACAGAGGCCACGCTCTCTGGGAGCCCCAGGTGGGCGGGGTCTGTGGAGCTCAGGAGCCAGGGTGGTGGGGTTGGGAGAGGCGCAGGGGGCCATGGCTCAGTCCCAGATGACAGGTTGTTCCTAGAACAAAAAGACAGGTCAGTGGGGCTCAGCGTCTCCATACTTCCTTGTTTCTCGCTGCCAGGCTGTCTCTGCACCTCTGCGGAAGGCAGCCATCTCTCCATCCTCAGTGCCCACCTGTGACTTCCTCCCCCGCTTCTCTCTCTCTTTTTGTTTCTAACCCGGGTCTCTCTAGAGAAACAGACAGCTCTGCCATGAACTGCAGCATCAGACAGAACTCAGTTCCAATTCCTGGCCACCTCGCTTTTGGTGGTGTATCTTTGGACAAACCATTTTCCTATTCCAAACCTTAACTTGTTTATAGTCAAAGATGGCTTTGGATGGTATCAAAGGCACGAATAACAGGGCTGGGTCTGGTAAGTGCTAAAACAGTGGACAGCCACGATTTCTCCAGCCTTCTGGGGATCTCTGGAGTCTTCACATTTCTTGGTTTATTCTTGGAAATTTCTGTTCGATGAGTATCTGTTTCTAGCTCTTTTTCTTTTCTTTTCTTTTTAAGATGGAGTTTCGCTCTTGTTGCCCAGACTGGAGTGCAATGGCTGATCTTGGCTCACCGCAACCTCCGCCTCTCGGGTTCAAGCGATTCTCCTGCCTCAGCCTCCCGAATACCTGGGATTACAGGCATGCGCCACCACGCCCGGCTAATTTTGTATTTTTAGGAGAGACAGAGTTCTCCATGTTGTTCAGGCTGGTCTCGAACTCCCGACCTCAGG